GTGTGTACACACTCCAGTTTTCCCTTATATAGAGAGAAACTGCACAGTATTATCACAGAGCGCTCACACTCCCAGCTCATCAAATACAGCAGCTTGGTCAGTTGCTCTATTAAACTATGAGGCTGCACATGGTGGGAGTGATTATGATGGGAGCAAAGGAGGAAGTCAGGTGATGGAGCATAAAGAGTGACAAAGTCTGCATATGGAGGAAGTCGGGACGGATTGATGGGTCAAACACACACACATAAATTGATTTAGGCTACGTACTGCACTTAGGAATCTTGAGATTGACTGCAGAAGCAACATGAATGGCGCTTTGGAGCCACGGACCGATACAGCAGGTTAGTGTGTAAGCTCTGTATAACCCTGCATTAAACAACTTTAAAAACCCACGTCGACTGTTTCAATTTAAGCGAGACTATGTCAAAAACGACCAAGGACTGGGAGATCTTCACCAGAAAATGCAGTTCCCAAACTAAGAGTACCCACTGCCCTCCCCTCTGGTCCCCACTGGTTAGCTAACGTAAGCCTTGGCAGCTCTGCACTGCTTAACAACTGAGTTGGGTGGAAGCTAGCTAGCTTATTCAGAGACTACCTCTGTGTCTCCTGCCAGTACACTTCTATGTAGCATACTATGTGCACTATACTTATTGGAGTAGTGCACAAATTTCTTAAGGGTAGTGTTGTCTCAAACGAAACCTGGCCGTTGTGCACTTACCGAAAATGACGGCCGCAAATTAGCTAGTTAGCAAACTAGCATTACCATCGGCATTATCGTTCGAGGTACCAAATCATTACAGACTGCTAAATTAACCCAACAAACATACTGCTGGCTTATACCCGACAACAGTATAGTGGTGCTTAGTGCAAAAAACACATGTATTTGTACAATGCAGCGACGTTCACGGTAGCACAGTCCTCAGCCGCCATTTCCAGTTTGAAAAGTGGTCCCTCCCCTTCTGCCACGTAGCCAAGATGGCGACCATTGAGGGCGAGAAGTGTCCATAGTTCCACACTCAACTTCTTGACCGTTTTGAGTGCACCATCCGGGTACTCATAGTGCACTGCATTTTTCCATACTTCTCAGTGTGAACGCACTTATGCACTCAAAATATTAAGTGTAAGTACAGAAGTACGCGATTTGAGACGCAGCATACGACACTGCTGGTAATGCTGATGCCGTTGCTGCAGAAACATGGTAACGAGGTAAGCCTCGTGAGTTGAGTGAGAGGGTGTTGGGTGTAGGTTCACAATAATAGGAGTATGTCATGTACTAGGGCTGGGCCATATGTAGGAAATCAAATATTGTGATATTTTTGACCGAGTACCTCAATATCAATATTACGACCATATTCTAAGGTTGACAAACGGTGCTTTCACAAAATATTTACACAATAATTTTGGTGAATAATGATCAGTGAAGTAGATATTATGATTATATACATAAAGGGAAATAACAGAACAGCTAGAGGAGTCTGGTAAGTTCAGAAGATTAGATCACTTTACTGTAATGCAGCCTTTAACACCAGGAGAAGACGACACGATATTATGATATCTAAAATCTAAGACTATATCTACCTCCATAGCATGAAATCTATATAATATTGATATATGGCCCAGCCCTAGAGCCCTGGAGTAGTGACAAAGATCTGACAGGAAAACAACAGTGGAAAACAGAAAAGAAAGCCCACATGAACACGGCACACAACCCCCTCACTGACGCAGTGCTGCAGCTCACTGACCAGCAGCACACACTTGTACTACAGCCGAAAAAGAACCCACTGTACTTGATCAGCAAACTTTCTTTATCGAAGGTTAAAAGAAAATCTAAACATTTGACCTCTCAAAAAAAGAATCAGTATGAATTGATCAGGCAGAGGACGACGATTAGAGCTGCACAGAGGCCACTGTCAGCGTAAGTGTTCTGCAATTTTCTTCCAGCCAGAACCAGCAGCCCAATCTATGATGCTCATTTTCCAACAGCACAGACGCTCAATACACAGACATCCCATCTTCAGGGGAACAATGTTCATCGACGTGGCAGCAGTGCAGCTCAACAGTCAAATTATGTCATTAGATCTCATCTGACTTACTAAAATTAAATAATGCAACTAAACATTTGTGTTGATATTGTGGAGTTTATTTCACTAATATCGGTATTAATTTAGTTTAATACAACTTCTGTTTTTTTAATCTACTTAAATCTGTTTTGAAGTTTGGATAATGTGGATTTAGCAGTATTAACCTATCTACTATCAGTTTGTATTAGCCTGCTGTTCCTTCTAGATAAGCATACTGGGATATTTCAGACTGTACATGTCTGCTTCAGTGAAGAATATTTAGTACATTTCCAAAAAGCCTCTCTTCTTTCTACAGCCCACCAAAGAATGGGTGTGAATTTTGCATGCTGTAAAATGTTGTATTTATTTTTTATGTTGGACATCAATAATGCTTGACATCTTTTTATTCCCACAACCAACCTCCAACAAAGCTGGACATGAATATCTCACTGTGATGTAAAACTTTCTATATTTCATCCAGTGGAATAAAACTAACTCCTTTTTTGTATTTTTTAATAGTTGTATTTGTATTTTTTTGTGTATTTTAATACTTTGTATTTTTATTTTGTATTTTTATTAATATTTTTTATGTTGTATATTTTTTTGCATATATATATTTTTTTTTATTAGTTTTTATTTCTATTTCATTTTTAATTTCTGTTTCCGTTTGTTTCCAGAGAGGGTTTTTCTTTTAGATTTAATGTTTAAAAAATATAATTTTTAGTTTAGTCTTTACTAGTTTTGATATAAGTTTTAGTTTTTTAATAACTGTATAAGGAGGTTTTGTAAGGGGCAATATTTTAAGGTCCAGTGTTTAAGATTTAGGGGGATTTCAAGTTAAGTTCCACGTTACAAATCAGTGTTTTCCCAATGCTTTTCATTGCAGACGGGCCTCTAACTATGGTGGTAGATGTGTACGCAAAAAAATGAAAAAGCGAATGGTCCTATTTGAAGCCAGTGTTTGGTTTGTCCATTCTGGGCTACCGTAGAAACATGGTAGTCTCCATAAACGAGGACCCGCTCCCTATGCAGATATAAACACTCATTCTAAGGTAACGAAAACACAACAATTCTGATTTTTAGGTGATTATACACTAAAGAAAACATACTTATCATCTTATTTTCCATTTCTGCCAGTACCCCCCCTTGCATCCTACACAATGGACCTTTAAGAAGTTACAAATAGATATAATAATACAAACATTATGTGACGGCAATTCACTCACTGTCACGAAAACATCTTAGTCTCAATAAATATACACACTTTTACTATTTAGTTTTAATAATTTTGAATGTTATACTTATAGTTGGACAAAACAAACATTGTGAAGGTGCCACTTTGGGTTTTGGGTAGTTGTGACATCGCTGACTAAGATTTTCTACATTTTTAAAGGAAGGCTGTTTAACAAAATACGACACATAAGATGAATGACTTAAAAAAAACAGTAAAGAGACTACAAAAAAACACACACTGATGTTTGTAGTGTTGACATATTTGACCAAATTGACAAAGACTAAAACTAAAGACATTTTCTGCATATTTTCAATTTTACTTTAGTTAATTTTGTAAGCACACAATATCATTTCAGTTTTTTTTCTTAAAGTCTGTGTTTTTTTATTTTATTTCAGTTAACTAAAATGTTTTTTCACACCTTGTTTAGTTTTTATTTAACAATAATAACCTTGCTTCTCACACATTATAACAAAATATGTAACTTTATATCTACATTTTTTATGTAGACTAAACAATATGTTTGAGTTTGTTATCCCCAGCAGACCTCTGGCCCTTGTTCACGGTGTCCTTGCTGGGCAGCCAATGACAGATGGCGAGGCAGGTTTGGACTCTGATTGGACATTGGCCCTGAGGATAGGAAACCATCATGAGGGCTTTGTGTTTCTGTATGCTGTAAAGTAGGGAAAGTGACCGACACGCAGCATATACTATGAAAACAGGAGGGGGACATGGGCATACAAACACACACACGTAACACACACTGTTCAACTAGAAAACAGATGAAGTGCAGAAAAGAACTGAGAGGCTGAGAGTTCGAATAAAATTCTGCCATTGTTCAGAGGCTGCACGGCCAGTTGAATCTTAAATAGCTGTAGTTCCTCTGCCAACGAGGCTGTAGAAAAGCAATTACTGGGGGATAAACTGCAAAGGTAACTGCCAAGATAAGACAGAGATAAAATGTGAAGCGGTGGCATAAACTCCCACAGGAGGCACAGAAAGGAAAAAGAACAGGGAAAGGGCAGAGCAGACAGTACATGAGCTGAAAACAGGTGTTCAGAGGGCAGAAACAAAAGAGCAGGTATGTTTGCATGGACCCTGATATTCCAGATCAGATCCACCTCAGTCCAAAGAGACTGGCCCGATGGGCTTAGAGGGGATGGTGTTAACCTTTGATAATCCGTTTAATAAGAAAATATTAGCGGCTAATAAGTGTGTAGCCTAAATGCTAAATCTAATAATTTCTCTCTGGTTGGAAAAAAATATGTTCTTTCTGTGCCTGTTTGGCCAACATGGAGGTAACATTGGGTAACGGATAGAGTGCATGCAGCAGACATGACGTGCCGCAACAGCTGTTTCTCCCTCGCTGATTTTGACAAAGAATCATTCACAAATTTAAAAAATATTTAGCGCTCTGCTACATTCTTATGTGAGCACTCTGATTAGTAAGTTTATTCTTTAGGGATGCACCAATTCTGAAATTTTGGGCCAACTTGGTTGTAAGTTGATACCAATACTGATGTTTTGTTCATCAGCATCTATGTAAAAAGCTCAGTTGGAATCTCTAAACAGAATGGTTTTAATCAGATTGAAGAAACATCGTCCGTGTAACCACAGCTAAGGTTGGTACTGCAGAGTTCTCATGTTTCTAACCCCTGACCCTCTGTAACTTTAGGTGCTTTTATAAAGACATGTCTGGATTATCTTACCCAGCATGCCCTTGTTGGGCTCCGATAGACACATGTCCTTCTCTGCGCTGGGCAAAACGAAGCCGACCACAAAGATCTCCACGCCGTCCGCCATCAGCGCCAGCCCCAGGACAAAGTAGAGCGTCCACTGGAACTTCCCGTGGCCGCACTCCTGCAGGATGGTCTCGTACTGCTGGGCCAGCTCCTCCTGGTCTTTCCTCCTCTCGCCCTCGTAGGCCGACAGATCCCTGAACTGCTGCGCCTGGGTGGCCGTCACCCCATCCATGCTGCCGGTCTTGCCCGAGTCAGCCCTCGGGATGCCCTGGTACTCCCCTTCGTAGATCTCATCATCCTCGTCATGTCCTTCAGTGGAATCGCTGTGACCTTCATCATCATTGGCTCGGCTGTCATTGCGGTAATATCCGCCGGCATTGCTAGGCACACCGCCATAGTCTTCATCATCGTCTTCCTCCTCAAAGCGTTTGTAGGAGCGCTTGGTGTACTCGTCGGCCATTTTGTCCACGCCGCGCCCCATCTTCTTGCCGACCTGTTTCTTGGCGACTTTGGCAATGTCCTTGGCGCCGCGGACAAAGTCTGAGCGGCTGTCTCTGTAACGCCCGTCGTCGTCCATCTTGGATGTGGAAGTGTTGGTCAGTTGCTGCTAGGAATGGGAGCTATCAGGAGCGGCCCAGGCACATGAGTGTGCAATGGGGATCTCTGTTAGCTGATGAATTCAGCACCGCGGTCAGCTCCCTGCTCCACTGCACTGCTGCTGATGGACCTCTGGCCAGTGTGCGCTCTGACACCAAATCCTGTGGAAAAGCAAAGAAAAGGGTTTGTGTTAGCGTGATTGATCACACTGGCACTGTAGTGCATGTGAGGGAGAACAATCTTCTGTAAGCCCATTTTCAAACAATCTATCAGAGCCAATTCACACTGAAGCACCATTGGCATTCACGTTGGGTTGTTGCCATTTGCAGGACAGGACACATTATCTGGCTCAGCACTAATGACTGAGAGGAAAAAGGACATGACAGCTTGAGTCTTGGAGCTCTGTGACCTATATTGACTGAACAGCAGTTATCTCACAGCTCCGTCCTCAGCTCAGCAGAAATCACAGTGTGGCATTTACATTGCGGCACACCGCAGTCAACATTTAATGGATCCATGCTGTGATGTGTCACAGCATGTACATCTGTGATTAACAAGCAGGGCTGCAATGCAGTGCAGTACAGGTCGATGTTTATGTATAGATTGAAGCTCCCACTGAGGACACTTGTGATTACAGTCTGTGAACTCCGACTAACTTCTGGCTTACTAGCGACAAATGGTGCTGTTAACATTGGTATTTTTCAACATGGACTCTGGTTTCACATGTTTTTGTGTTGACATCTCAAATGGATTGAACAAGAAGGCTGCGCCAACAGCGGCGAAACAGGCTGCAATGTAATGTTAAAGGGCAATTTTGCAGTGTCAATCTACGTCAGCTGAAAGTGTTTATGTGTACTAGAAGTCAACCATAAAAACACAAAAAAGGGCAACTACACATGATTACAAAGACCAGTTAAGATATGCCATGACACTGGCATATAGAAAACTGTGTACAAAACAGTGCAACAGTGCTTTGAAACGGCCGAGAGGAACCAAACAGTGCAACTTTAAGTTCTTCTGCAGAAGACTCCACATACAGCGGGTAAAATAAATATTTAACATGTCACCATTTTTCTCAGTAAATATATTTCTAAAGGTGCTATTGTCATGAAATTTTCACCAGATGTAGGTAACAACCCATGCAATCCAAGCATGCAAAGAAACCAAAATAAATAATTTCAGAAATTAAAGTTATGTGTAATAAAATGGAATGACACAGGGAAAAAGTATTGAACACGCTTACTGAAATTTATTTAATACTTTGTACAAAAGCCTTTGTTGGTAATGACAGCTTCAAGACGCTTCCTGTATGGAGAAACTAGTCGCATACATTGCTCAGGTGTGATTTTGGCCCATTCCTCCGCACAGACAGTCTTCAAATCTTGAAGTTTCCGTGGGCCTCTTCTGTGAACTCTGATCTTTAGTTCTTTCCACAAATTTTCTATTGGATTCAAGTCAGGTGATTGGCTGAGCAATTCAAGCAGCTTTATTTTCTATCTCTGAAACCAATTGAGAGTTTCCTTGGCTGTGTGTTTGGGATCATTGTCTTGCTGAAATGTCCACCCTCGTTTCATCTTCATCATCCTGGTAGATGGCAGCAGATTTTTATCAAGAATGTCTCGGTACATTTTTCCATTCATCCTTCCTTCAATTATATGAAGTTTGCCAGTGCCATATGCTGAAAAACAGCCCCACACCATGATGTTCCCACCTCCAAACTTCACTGTTGGTATGGTGTTTTTGGGGTGATGTGCAGTGCCATTTGACCTCCAAACATGGTGTGTATTATGGCATCCAAAGAGTTCAATTTTGGTCTCATCTGACCAGACTATATTCTCCCAGTATTTCACAGGCTTGTCTAAATGTTGTGCAGCAAACTTTAAACGTGCTTCAACATGCTTTTTCTTCAGCAATGGAGTCTTGCGTGGTGAGCGTGCATACAGGCCATGGCGGTTGAGTGCATTACTTATTGTTTTCTTTGAAACAATTGTACCTGCTAATTCTAGGTCTTTCTGAAGCTCTCCACAAGTGGTCCTTGGCTCTTGGACAACTCTTCTGATAATTCTTTTCATTCCTCTGTCAGAAATCTTGCGAGGAGCACCTGGTCGTGGCCGGTTTATGGTGAAATGATGTTCTTTCCACTTCCGGATTATGGCCCCAACAGTGCTCACTGGAACATTCAGAAGTTTAGAAATCCTTCTGTAACCAATACCATCAGTATGCTTTGCAACAATAAGGTTGCGAAGGTCTTGAGACAGCTCTTTGGTTTTACCCATCATGAGATGCTTCTTGTGTGACACCTTGGTAATGAGACACCTTTTTATAGGCCATCATTTGGGACTGAACCAGCTGATATTAATTTGCACTGACAAGTGGCAGGATTGCTTTCTAATTACTGATAGATTTCAGCTGGTGTCTTGGCTTTCCATGCCTTTTTGCACCTCCCTTTCGTCATGTGTTCAATACTTTTTCCCTGTGTCATTTCACATTATTACACATAACTTAATTTATAGACATCTAAGGTTTGATTTCTTTGCATGTGTGGATTGCATGGGTTGTTACCGACATCTGGTGAAAATTTCATGACAAAAGCACCTTTAGAAATATAGTTACTGAGAAAAATGGTGACGTGTTCAATATTTATTTTACCCACTGTATATGGAGCTGCATGCATACCGGTAAATGCTGGTTCACCAAACTCTGTACGTACAGTACCCTTGGTACAGACAATAAAAACATGTTCTGCGAATGGAGAGCAGAGCCATTTTCAATTTAAAAAAACAACAATTTGTCACTGACAGGCTCAGATTGTTAATAGAAGTGTGTGACAACAACATAGATGGGGCCCAACAGTGACAGGCACGTCTATTAAAGAGTAAGATCCTTTTTTACGACAAACTGCCCCAAAATCCCTTTCGCCAAACCCACCAGACTCCATTTAAAAAACCTGTAATTTTATCACCATAAAACACACTTGATTCAAAGTCGACAGACACAAAATAATCCTCACAATAGCAATCTTTGTTTGTCTCTCCACTGTTCCAACAATCACCAACTCTGGTTTGCTTGAAATAAACCCTTAATTCATCCAGTTAGATGTGAAAATAAGTTGGATCTATACATGCTTAAATTACTGTTTATTTAAATGGAGTCTGGTGAGTTTCCAGCATGGATCTTACTCTTAACAAAAGGTAAGATTCCTCTCTATAAGTTGTTAGATGCTTATAGTAACAGTCCGAGCCTGTCAGTGGCAAAACAAGCACTTTAAGTGGATGTAAATTCATGATTCACAAATGCCCTGATGGTTAATATGCAGTCTGTTTTGCAGCTGCCGGCTGCAGCAGTCTCACTAAACACTGGACCAGTTTTAAAAGCTGTTGTTCCCATTAGTCATTTAGACACAAAAAGAGGGGATAAAAGGGTCCAGGTTGAAAAATACCGAAATTACCCTTTAATGCCTTTGTCCCAACATCTCTTACTTATCTTCCTTCCCCTCGTCCATCCTGATTCATGCTCCCTTCCTCCTGCTCTCTCACACACCCTCTTCCATCATTACTTTAAATCTCCATTATCTTCTCCATTATCTCATCAAGCAGAGAAAAGAAGAGAAAAACCATGAACAGAGCAGCAAATAAAGAGTCTATCAGCAGGCCGCCCTGCTCTTTTCTAAGACACTTATGTCACTGTGATGCTGCCCTTGTTTGTCTCGCTGGCGTCGACATGCTGCGCCACAGAAAAGGCTGCAAGCCCTGCAAACAGGCAAAACAAACTCAGCGGGGAGAACATCATTAGCATATGTGTTTTAGTGAGCGTTTGACTCGCCGTGGAGGGTTCAGATTGTACAGACAGAATCTGTACATGAATAAATCAGCTTGGATGGTCAGACTCTTTGAAGTCACAGCAGCTGGTTAGCTTAGCTTGGCACAAAGGCCAGTAAAGGGGTAAACAGCCACTCTGGCTCTGTACCAGAGGTCGACTAAAGGCCAAGATAATAATGATAGTCTGGAAGAGGAGAAGCAGACAGCAGATTTAAAAATGTGGACATCTAAGTCAAAGTCAAACATCCATCCATCCCTCTTCTACCCGCTTCATCCTCTTGAGGGTCGCCGGGGGGCTGGAGCCTATCCCAGCTGACATTGGGTGAGAGGCAGGGTTCACCCTGGACAGGTCGCCAGACTATCGCAGGGCTGACACATAGGGACAGACAACCATACACGCTCACGTTCACACCTACAGACAATTTAGAGTTATCAATTAACCTAGTCCCCAATCTGCATGTCTATGGACTGTGGGAGGAAGCCGGAGTGCCCGGAGAGAACCCACGCTGACACGGGGAGAGACAGAAGGGCTCCCACACCCGGGATCGAACCGGGAACCCTCTTGCTGTGAGGCAACAGTGCTAACCACCACACCACCGTGCCGCCCAAAGTCAAACATAACTAAATAAATATATAAATCTCCAGCCTGTCACACTGACAAACACCTGTCCAGATGTGTTCAACAACAGCCGCAACACACTGGTTCATATTCAACATGAGCATCAGTGCAGTTTAAACAGACTGTGTTTTATCTGTGTAGTAGACCTGAAATCAGCTGTGCATGATGCACAGAGGATACACAACAGCCAAAAATGTTGCCATGTCGTGTGCACAGCTGTTGCGTTCACTGATGCTTGTTGGCACGTAGGCCAACACCAGTGTGAAGCAAGAGGAGTTCAGGGGCCATCCACTGTGTTTTGGAGTCGGTTTGAATACTGAGGGGAGAAAAGTAGCTTTGTTTTAGCTTTTGGAGGCATTTGATGACTGATCGTTACAAATATTGGGAAGGGAAAATTTCCATTTTTCATATATTGAAAGATAACCACTACATGCCCAAACTAAAAGTATTTTACAAACGCTTTTGTGGCATTTCATTTTTAGGAATATGTTTCCAAACAAAACACATTTGTTGTATTAATCATGTATTCATGTTGTATCAAATCATGATTTAACTTTCTGGAAATATTAGCTTTTGCTAATCAATGCTAAGGACACATTTTGGTCAGTAAATACCCATCTGTAGACTATGTTCTAGTGAAGGCCCAACCTCTGTTTGACATGCCCAACATCTCTAACATGACAGATTGTTTACACCTTGTCTGCCACAACAACATATCTCCAGC